AAAATTTCTGGAACTGAAAAAAATCGAACCGAATCGACCCGCGCCCACCCCTAGTTTCTCTTTCTCCAAGGATCGCCAGAACGCCCACTGTAAAGTAAAGGAAGTTCATGTCTCTCTTCAAAGAAATCTCAAATAATATTGATCTATTTAACAGAAGATGAAGATAATTTATAGACAAATTCACAGTTTTGGATAAGAAATTAATGGCTATTCCTCCTTAAGAGCCCATAGATGAGCAAGTTGATTAAAAGGACAGTGAGAAAAAGACATGACACATGCTAAAGTTTTTGTTGAAAGGACGACTCCACTATCGCCATTTCAAAAATTGTCACGTTTTGCCACCTTGCTATTACATTGATATAACATAGTTGAAAATGAAAATGAAAATGAACAACTACAAATTTTAGTGGAATGTACGAAATGAACTTCACTAATCACACCAAAGCTCCAATTTGCCTGTTTGGTTCGACGTTGTCCAGGATTCAAGAGGCTGGAACCAGTGACAAATACAATTCGGTAAAGCGGATTGCTGGTAACAGTTGATCAACTAAAAATTCTCAGTGAAGCATCAATCCTTGCACGGCTTGTGTAGCATCTTCAGTAATCTTGTTAGCCTGAATGGTTCTTATTACATTTCCAATGTTATCCTGGAAAAAAAAAACACACACGTAAAAATTTAATTAATCATTGTAAAAGATGGCAACAATGGTGTTCAAGACTGATTGTAGAGCAAAACCATAAGCGTCAAAATGGGAAAATAGACATAAATAAAATAATCAATACCCTCCAAGTTGCAAGTTTTGTTCGAAGTGCTCGCCATTGATTCTGCCCAAATACGCGCTCCTTGCACTGACTGCACTCACGAATTAGTGTAATCAAAAGTTTCTCACCTCTTGTTTTCCTTCAAAATATTAGCGACCGTAAGAAACAGCTCTCTCTGTTCCTTAACTCCAAGATTCCACTCCCTCAAAAGGCTATCAATCTTTTTAAATGATGGTACAACATGTTCAGTGACTTTTCCATTCGCCTCCAAATTAAGGGACTTCACTTACACAAAATACTGGCTATGGATTATGGGCACTCCAATAGGTTGTAGAGGTTAAACAAACTGTAAAGCGGTAAGAAACAGAACCAAAAAAAAAAAAAAAAAATTATCACAATGTGGGACCCACACACATGTGAGATGGTTATGTACCAAGCAGATACCAAACTTTTAATATTTTTCAAGTGGAAAATTATATAAATCAAACACAATTAATTATAATTTCCAATAAAATAATTTCTAGTCAGTTCAATTCTCTGTAAAACATTTTCTTTCTACCCATTTTCCACATTTGCAATCAAACGAACTTTGTCCAAATATTTTGTTTGTATTCTTTAAAATAGGGGTCAAATATTTTGTCAAACTTCTTTATTTTGGTTTTATTTTTTTTGCTTATGTAAAACCTACGAATGACAAATAAAAAAAAATTGAAATTCAATATGAATTGTAAAAAGCACGATTAATTGCAAAAATGTGTATTTAAATAATAATTAATCAACACAAGACATTTTGTTTTGATTAATAACGTATAAAATAAGTTCAGAATGTCTAAGTTGACGTATATTTATATTTCGGCTCTATATTTATACTGATTTTTCAAAATGTTCCTAAATTTAGTGGTACTGCATAAGTTACCCTATTTTTTTAAAAAATAAATTGAGCCCTTGTTTGGACTTTATTAATTTGATAATGCATTTTTCTATTTTTTTCTTTTTAATTACGCGTTATCTAATAAAATAATATTACACGTAAATTCAAAAAAATATCTTCTTTTTTAACTACATATTCTTAAAAAATCATTGTTACAAATACATTTTTCTGAAAAACCTAATTATAATAGAATCAGTTAGGGTAATTAGCATATAACGTCCTCACCTTTCACTATTATTGTGGAAAATTTACTTACATTTTTTGTTTTTTTGGCATTTTCACTATTATTTTCACTTTTCATTGTACAAAAAATCATTTTCACCCATTTTTTAATTTAATTTTGTGAAATGACGAATATGCCATTCTTTTTAAATAAAACAAAAAGTGAAAGAAAAACTAATTACAACCACAATCCTAATTTTTTTTAAAAGCGCAAATAAATCCCAAATAAATTATTAAAAGGGTAAGTAGTATATAATGTACATATCTTTCACTATTATTGCGAAAAAATCTCCATCTTTCATTTTTTTGGTATTTTCAATCTTAATTACACATTTAATTGTGTAAACCATCATTTCTATACATTTTTATACACTTCTCAATAAAGAGATGTGAAATGATAAATATATTCTTATATTTAAATTTAAAAAATAAAATTAAAGAAAACTATTTTTTTAATTTCTAGTTTTTTAATAATTTATCAGGGACTCATTTGCACTTTTTTTTTAATAAATTTAATTTCTAATTCTTTAAAATAAATTATTTATGATCCGTTTGCACTTTTTAAAGCACTTTTTTCCTTAAAAAAAATATAATTTCTAATTTTCTAATAATTTATTTGGGACTCGTTTGCATTTTTTTTTAAAAATAATTTTTAATTTTTTAATAATTTATTTGAGATTCGTTTGCACACTTAAAATTTTTTTGGGACTGATTGTAATTAATTATTTAGTTTTTTTTATTTAAATATGTTCGTATATTCGTCACTTCACGGCTCTTTATTGAGAAATTAGATAAAAATGGATATAAATGATGGTTTACACATCGAAAGGGTAATTAATGGTGAAAATGTCAACAAAATGAAAGGTGTTGACGTTTTTT